AGAACTAAAAGATCTGCCTCCCATTCTACTTTTAGAAATTCTAGGAACCACTAGAGGTTTCCTAATCTCCATGGATTTATGGAGAATTGTGGATCTTGAATAAACTGCAGCTTGAGGCTTCTTCCATGGTGTATAATCTATAAATCCTATCTCTATGTTTCCCTCAGAGTTGTTCAGGCCTTTAGCTTCTCATCTGTGATGATGAAGGTCCAGCAGGTCGGGTCCCTGAAGCTGGACTCTGGACTCCAAACACAACTTGATTCTTTTCCTTTATTGTTGTAAAGCATCGCCTGCATTCCTTAGAGTTGCTCTGTAGATAAAAGCGCCATCCTTTCTTCAGCGGCCGATGCTTCTGAGCGCGGTAACCATGGTGATCCCTCCTACTTCTGCGCCACGGTTTCACGGCTGTGGCGGGAAACTATCCTGGTTGCTGTGATCAGGGGCAGAACTGGCCCTGCTGTGAGAGGAAACAGGAAGTCACTGCTCCTCCTGATTCCATGGTGAAGACGGCCGATGCTGGTCCCAGTCCAGTGGACTAACTGGTTGCTTCTGTGTTTGCTGGTGTTCAGGCGGCGATCCAGTCCCAGCTGGACGGCGTGCGCACCGGGCTCACCCAGCTCCACACCGCTCTGCTGGACGTGAAGGACATCCAGAGCTCCCTGGCCAACGTCAGCAAAGACTGGAGGCAGAGCATCAACACCATCGAGAGCCTGAAGGACGTGAAGGACGCCGTGGTCCAGCACAGCCAGCTGGCCGCCGCCGTGGAGAACCTGAAGAACATCTTCTCTGGTGGGTTCGGCGTTCCATCGGAATCGGCGGGCCGTTTGGACCCAGCTAACGTTGTGTGGTTGTGGGTTCAGTCCCAGAGATCGTCATGGAGACCCAGCAGCTGATCGAGCAGGGCCAGCTGCTGCAGGCCCACAGGAAGCTGATGGAGCTGGAGTGTTCCCGTGACGACCTGATGTACGAGCAGTACCGCATGGACAGCAGGAACACCCGCGACATGAACCTCATCTC